CACCTATAGTCCCAGCTACTTGGGAGATTGAGGCAAGAGAATCACTTAAGCCCAAGAGTTTGAGGTTTCTATGAGCTGTGATGCCACAGCACTCTACCAAGGGTGACATAGTGAGACTCTGTCTCAAAAAAAAAAAAAAAAGAGAGAGAGAGCATAATAAAATTTTAAAATTAGGTGAATGGAAGAGACATATCTTCAGTTAAAAATACACACATTGTCAATTGTCATATTTTTAGAGACAAAACTTTCTCCTTCCTGCTGGTAGGAGAAAAAAGGAAACACATCAGAGACAGAGTACTGTCTTCAGAATCAAACCCAAGTCCCAGCAGCTGACTCTGGCTTTCAGTTTTCTGTAACTATAGCAAATGCTGAACACGCTTTGAATGATTCTCCAGTAAAGAAGACCATTTTGCTCTCTGCAATGAGATTTTAAAATCTCACAATCTCTACTTGATGAACTTTAGGGAAATAATCATTTGATAACTAGAGAGATTGCAGTGCTGTCTCCTCGTATGTATAAGAAATACCTCCTAATCCTGCTCTAGCCTTGCCACTATAAAGTATTTTAATTCTAAGTTTAATGATTCCTCCACACACACACACACACACACACACACACTTAACCCCAGGGCAGGGGAGGTGAGGACAGAAGAGTACAATTGCTTCTGTGGCCATTTTTGTGTCCCCCCACCCCCAAACTTTAGCCTTTTTCAGTAACAAGATTTTCCAAAATTAACTAGAGGATGCACCCCTTGAGGCACTGTGCCTCCTTGATCACTCTGTATTTCCGACTGTAACAGACATGCATTTGGCAATCTGCTGATGACAACTGGGTCTCTAACGAGAGGAGGCAGAAGCATCCTATGCGTTGAGAAGCTTTTCACACCACACAGATGTGCAGGGGAGTAAGCCCGATACATTCATGGAAATGGAGCAAAAGGAAACAGAAATGTGGCAAAAGACAAAAACAAAAGCCCAGCAGAGCGACAAAGCCATCATAATCATGGCTCACCTGGGGATCTGGTTGCAGAGTAGGCACTGGAGCAGTGGCCACCCCTCTTTACTGTGCACATGCAGTATACACAAAGCAGGAGACAGTGAGGAGAGTGGTTATTCATCAGGTCTAAATGTGTACACAGAAGAAGGGTCAACAACCTGCCCTAAGAGAGAGGTTAGCTATGGAAGGGGAAGGGGTGAAAAGTAGAAGGCCCAAAACACTCGGCCTCTCGTAAAGACAGATGTTTGAGAAAGTTTACATTGATAATACTTTCACACGTTCTAGATTCCCCACCTGCAAAATAATCGTTTTTCACCATTTTTTCCTTAACAGGAAATGATATTCTTAATTACTAAAATCAAACCCATAGATTCAATATATAGAAATACTTAGTTTTTAATTTTTAAAAATGCCAAAAAAGTTAAAATGAGGACGCATCTATAGCCTTGAGACTGGAAAGAAATTTAATTACAGGTAAGTCTGACTACTTTCTCAACAGTGATTGTTGCTACACTTATGTTGCTTGATGAAGGAATGGCCAGGGGAAATTGGTCAAGTAAATGCATGTCTGCGTGGAATGTGGTATGTTTGAAACAATAAGAGCTAATGTTAAGAAAATAAGTATTTACAATTATATAGCAGTATACAGTGGTCAAAATGTGAAACGCTTATATGTAAATACTGGAAGACCCTAGAATTATCAGGCTGCTCTCAAGAAAATGTGTCAGAACAAAAACATACAGATTTTTTGAAAGAATTATTATACTTTGGGACACAGACAACTTTTTAGTTTTAAAAAATCATATTTCCTGCATGCTGTTGTGGAACCTGGCTCCCCAAGAGCCAGGACAAGATAATTAGTTCGTAATAATTAAAAAAAAAAAAAAAAACTAAAGGAAAATGGTCTTTTCCTTCTATGACCACTTATTCCTTTTCCATTAACTACCTGAAGCTGGTGATTTGCTGCGTCGAGAGAGCCCTGGGCTTTTGGATCCAGAATATTTAACAGCTGAGGATCGAGAATAAGATGACTTCAGGACACGGCATTCTAGAAAGAAACAAAAAAGCGTGTTAAATAAATCTAGTTTTAATACTGAAAGAAAGGAGATTATGTGTAATTGTAGTTTACTACCTAAAACCTTTACATGATCATTTCTCTATTATTTTTAATTTAATGTACAAAGTAATGGTTCCAAAAGTACATCTGAGGTTTTCTTTAGACAAGCTACACACATCTCATTGTTCCAGATGGAGCTCTCAATGAACGCAGGAATCCCAATGTCCTAACTTGATATACACAAACGTCCACAGTAACCTATGTCTGCCCAACTCTTCTTTTTTAAATCAGCAACAGGGATAAGCAAATATTACAATATTATTATCTTCTCCACTTCTTGCGTATTTTATTTTGAAAGGGCATGAGACTCCAACTTCTGAACCCCTTATAGTCTTATTTTTTGCCTTCCCAAAGTATGAAGCATCAAAAATGAGGAATCCAGCTTTAAACAATTACTAGTCTTTCCCTAAGTGGCCAAATAGTGTTTAGAGTACCAGCCATAATTATAGCTAAAAAACTGCTTCTAATTTGAATAACTAAGAACTATGGGTTTTGGAGTCACATAGATTCTGGATGAATCATGGATTAGATGTTTGCTAAGTGAAGTGGGTACCCTGGTCAGATTCTAAAGCCTCAGTTTTCTTCCCCATGAAGCTGGGAAAGATCAAAATATGCTTCACAGGCTTGCTATAAGGATTAAATTAGATAACATATTGTCTGTAATTCACTTTAAAATACTGCGATTCATACAGGAAGATTAAAATGTGGGTTAGTTTTAATCTGTATCCCAGGGGCAGTACACGGACCTGTGAGCATAGGAATCAGGAAAATACACACCAGGGGAGGCTAGTTAGCATGTGAAAGACGAATCCAAACCCCAGACCAGTGGTTCTCTACCTTTCTAATGCCACTGCCCTTTAATACAGTTCCTGTGGATCAAGAACCACAGGTTGAGAACCTCTGCCCTAGACAGAGAGAGCTTTGGCTTAATTAGCACTGTGGCTCTCGAATTGTTAAAAAGCTGGTGTGGTGTGGTGTGGTGTGTGGATTAGTTAGCAACATCCCTAAAGGCACTGCCACTCTTTTGTGAGCAGGACTGGTGAATATAAAGAGCTAATAACCTAGAACGTCCCAGGTTAGGAAAAGGAGCCAGTCCTGCATCCAGCTCTTACTAGATGACTTTGTTACATTACTTAAGATCAGATTAGCTGCATTCTATGGATTTGAATGGATATGTAATGCAAGAAGTCATGAGAAGCCTAAAGGACAGAGAGGGGGTCGACGTCATCAAGACCACAACACATGTTACATAACTGATTTTTTTTTTTAATCTTTGCCTCCTTAATAAATCTACCTGTGTCAGAATTAGGTCTGAGACTTGCTAAGACTGTAAAATTGTACCATATAATGGGAGTCACATAATAATACTGTTAACAAGAATAACAAAAATAGCAAGCAGACACATACTACTTATGTGACAGGCACCCTTCTAAAGTTATGTTAATCCATTTAATCCTCACAAAACCGAATAAAATGGCCATTATTATCCTCACTTTGCAGAAGGTTAAGTAACTAGAGAGCAAGAGGGAAGAAATGAATAGTTCTCACCAACCTCCAACTACTGGAAACCTTTAATCCCACCACCAAAAAACTACAAATGATCCAATTAGTTCAGGTAAATGCATGACATACACCCACAGCACAGAGGACGATGCCTGGACATACACAGCGAGTGCTCAGCAAATGTTTTGTTATTGTCATTGTGGCTCAGAAACCAATAGCCCAAATGATGGTGCTTTGACAACAGACTGAACTCAAGAAGCCTCTCAGTCTCTTTGACCTCCTCCCAAAGAGGATGAAGTTCCTTTCTCTGCCTCATATCCAGACTCCCCAGGGAGAGCAATTGTTTTTGTTTCTGTTTTTCCTTCCCTTCCCTTGAAGACTGAGGCGGTAACCACACCTAGGCAGACCCTTTCTGCCCAGGAGAACTATTTAAGAGTTAATGTCTGATCCCAGACCCATTCATTTTCCCAGGTTATCCTTTAGTGCCTCTCAGCAGAACTCTTCTCCCCAGTCCCATAACCTGCTTTGCCAGGATGGTCTACAAACTTCAGAGTCCTTTTCCAGAGGGAGCAAAATCACTCTGTGATTCTCCCCATGTATAAAAAAATGTGTAAGCCTGGCCAGACGCAGTGGCTCATGCCGGTAATCCTAGCACTCTGGAAGTCCAAGGAGGGTGGATTGCTTGAACTCACGAGTTCAAAACCAGCCTGAGCAAAAAGTGAGACCCCTGTCTCCACTAAAATTAGAAAAACTGAAGCAAGAGGATCGCTTGAGCCTGGGTTGGAGGTTGCTGTGAGCTATGACGCCATGGCACTCTATCCAGGGTAACAGCTTGTTCTCTGTCTCAAAAAAAAGAAAAGAAAGAAAGAAAGAAAAAGAAAAAATATGTAAGCCTTTTCCATTGGTGGCCCTATGATGTTGTTTGTATCTCTACAACTTAGAATGTATTTAGTTTCAGTGTCTCGCCTTCCAAAATGACTACTGACATCAAAGATATATTATGAGACTAAATCTAAAATTAGGAAGGATGTAAAATACAGATAAAATGCATATTTCACTTAACCTGAACCACACAGAATGAGAGAAATCATCAGCACAGAAACACAAAAGGACTTTCCAGTCGTGTTACCAGCCTAAAGCAGGGCCAGCCCAACAAGACAATACAATATAGAAAACCTCAAAGACGTTTGGCAGAGATGAAAAACACACAGAAGGCTGGGCGTGGTGGCTCAGGCCTGTGATTCCAGTACATGGGGAGGGCGAGAAAGCAGGATCCTTTGAGCTCAGGAGTTCAAGACCAGCCTGAGCAAGAGTGACACCCCATCTCTACTAAGAATGGAAAAATCAGCTAGGAGTTGTGCCAGCTTCTGTAGGTCTAGCTAGCTACCTGGGAGGCTGAGGCAGGAAGATCGCTTGAACCCAGGAGTTCAAGGTTGCTGTAAAAGCAAGGCTGATGCCATAGCACTGTAGCCTAGAGCAACAGCGTGAGACTCTGTCTGAAGAAAAAAAAATACATATATATGTATATATACACAGACACACACAAATACATATATATTTTATATGTAATCATATATATATACACACACATATACATACATACACACATATACATGTAATAGAGAGAGGGAGAGCAGATAAATCGTCCCCAAAACACAGCTAATCTGATGCAGCGTAACAGGAAAGAATTACACAAGGAAGTCTGCTGATCAAAGAATGTATCATCTCAATTTTTTAAAAGTCTATGTATTCCTATATTTTACTTGGTAATATGTTTAATTCTGGACTGTCAGAACCACTACAACTGGAAGTGGTCTACTATCTAATTTTTTAAAAGCCAAATTTCTGCATTTAAGAGCGAGACTATATTTCTAAAATCCTGCTCCTTTGTAAAATGTTGTATGATTTTACCTCATTTAAAGCTGACTTCACAATCAGCTAAAATAATCACTGTAACTGAAGTAGGTTTAAGGTGATCCGTGACAAAAGGGGAAAGCGATGCTTCCAGAATAACGTCCAAAATCACTGAGGTTGCTGGTAAACAACTGAAAACCATTGGCTAAAATCAAGAAAAGAGGACTTTTTTTATTCCACCTATGATATGACTATATTTTTTCTCAAATACAATCATATATATCACAGGTTCCTTAACAACAAGGACATGTTCTAAGAAATGCCAGAGAATTTCACGTGCACAAACCTGGATGGAATAGCCCAGTACCCTTCTAGGATATATGGTACAGCCTACTGTTTCTGGCTACAGACCTGTACGGCTTGTGACAGTACTGAATGCTATAGACATCTGTGACACAGCGGTATCTGTGTCCCTAAACATATCCAAAGAGAAAGGTATGGTAAAAATATGGTATTATAATCTTATGGGACCACCATTGTGTACATAGTCCATCACTGACCAAAAGGTCACTCTGCAGCACACCACTGCATATAAGCAATGCATGATATTGTTTTCTTAAAAAGTTGCAACGAAAGCAATGAGGTGAGGTCGAAAGAAACCTCAGTTAATCAACATCAACAATCTATTTATATCTCTTTATCTATTTCTTTATGCACACATAAAATAAAAAATAAAATATAAATAAAATATAAAAAAATAAATAAAAAAAAATAAAATATAAAAAATAAAAAAATAAAAAATAAAAAGCTAAGTGTTTCAGCTTCAACGTAATCCATGCATTTACAGGGGCACAGCCAGCCACCATCCAAAGGTGTGGGCAAAACATTTCAGAGGCAGAAATCAACAAGAAGAGAACGGAAATGAACTGCTAAAAATGAAAACTGCTTGTATAATCAGCCCCAAGAACAAATTTCAATGACCCTCCTATTTAAGTTTCTATAATCCTCTCCCTTAACTAATTACTTGACCTTTTGAGTTGTTTCCAACAAATGGTGGCTTTTCTGCAAGACAAAAGAGCTGAGATTTTGAAAGCCCCGGGGCATAGTTTTTGATGCCAAGATCCACCATCCTCCAGGAGCTGCACCCGATACACCCTCACCCTCGTTAATTGACCTGCACCCAGCAGCAAAGCCCTGCCTTTAAAGGCCCATGATGTCCTGTGGCAGACAGACAGATTTAAGCTGCTTCTCCCAAACTGTCAACCAGATATCTGTCCTATTAAAAATTCCTTTCTTTCTTGGCAATCCTAGTTGTCTCAAAAATTGAATGTTTGTTCAATGAACAAGTGGACCTAGATCAAAACCCCCTTGCAGTTTTCAACAACACTGGAGTTGGGGGGTTTTCTTTTTCTTTCCTTTCTAGGTTTTTAATAACTAGGCAAGTGCTTTCATGTCATTCTATATTTTCTTTGGCTCAAAAAGAGCACTGCCAATGCCATCTGTCTTTAACACATCAGACCTCTTCACATACACCAAGTAGCTAAGTCCCAGGCCTTCATTTCAGGGGTTACAAAGATGGCCAATGAACTGCCTTACCGCTGTGATCGAGGACAAAGTCATCTTGGGCATAACGGAATTTTTCAGGTCCACATGCAATAAAAACATCATCATCACCAAAAAAGTCTTGCAGACAAGTAACCTAAAAAAAAAAAAAAAGTCCAAGAAATAAATTAGAAACATTAGAAGTGAAATCAAAAGCAAAATTAAATACATCTTTAAGCCTCAACTACAGTATTGAAGTGGAATAGAAAGCTGTTCCTAAGGTCACATTCCATTTCCAAGCATTTTCACACACTTCCTCTTGAGCTCAGAACAACAGTGTCAAGGGTCCACAGCAGGTATTGATACTCCTGTTCTGGCCAGGTGTGGTGGTTCACACCTGTAATCTTAACATTGGACGGCCAATGCAGGAGGATCCCTCAAGGTCACTTCTTTGAGCAAGAAGGATACCCTGTCTCCACCAAAAACAGAAAAAATGAGCTGGGTGTTGCAGCTGAGGCAGGAGGATGGCTTGACCCCAGAAGTTTGAGGGTGCTATGGAGCAGTGATGATGCCACTGTACCCAGGGTGAGAGAGAACAAGACTCTGCCTCAAAAAAAAAAAAAAAATCCTGTTTGACAGGTGAAGTTGAGAGTTCAGTAATGTGAAGTTAAGTGATTTTTTTCCCCAGGGATCCCAATAATTTGGTGGCTAAGATGGGGTTGCTGAGGCCTCTGCTCTCAGCTGAGTGTTCTCGTCTATTCTGGCCATTCTCACAGCAACCCCAGGTCCCAGCTGTGTGACCTTGGACATGACTTCACCGTACCTCTGGAATAGTGCCTTGGGTTGTTTTAAAAATTAATACATGAAGACTACTTGGAACAGTGCCTGGCACCTAAGTGTTGAATTTATTGACTCTCATCTCTATCACCACACCACCACCAGTATCACCAGAGGAAGATTTACAATGAAACTAATAAGATGTAAGCTTTCAGGCTCTTCCAAGGCCTTGTACCTAAATGTATGATCTCAATCTCATATCCTTCCTTCCTTTCTTTCTTTTCTTTTTTTTTTGAGACAGAGTCTTACTATGTCGCCCTTGGTAGAGGTCATTATTGTTTAGCTGGGCCGGGTTCAAACCTGCCAGCCTCAGTGTATGTGGCCGGTGCCATAACCACTGTGCTATGGGCGCCGAGCCTCATATCCTTTCTTCAGAAAGGCACTACCGTCTCCAGTTTTGGGCATTACAGAACCTGGATCTATCTTAGGGAGAACATTCATCCATGTATCCCAGTGGTGACAAGAACCACGTTCTAGGATTTGGGACATACACGGGTTCTATTTTTACCTGTTCACCAATGGGCTATGATTTCTTTTCTGAGAAGTACTCCATTCCCAATCATAAAGTGTTTAAAGGAACCACGTTGCTTTACTATTAGCAATCTCAATAATTTCTTGAATCTTCCTGATCATCATTTAGCTTTTTGTTGTAACAAAAATAAACCTCAACATAGTTAGAAAACAATGTTGTCAAGAAAAGACAGTGAAGTAGATACAACGTAGATCACTCAGATCACAGCGCTTAAGTGACCCGAAGGATGCACACTTGGCAATGCCAAAAAGTTGACTGCAGAAGACAGTGGGGTATGATGCAGGATGCTGCATGCTCCTCCCAATTCTCATCAAGCAAGATGCAGCTTCTGCACTTCACTGAAATTCAACTCATACTACCGTGTCTGAGGTCTTTAAGAACTGTGTTTCCATCATTGCTGCTAAGCCTGCTCTGTCTCCGTTGGTGGTAGCACGTACCCCTTCATCCACCCGAGCCCCCAGCAGTCATCCCTTTCTCCTTTCCTCATCAGTCCTTCATGGCTCCTCTTTTTTACATCTTATGTGGTTCTCAGGTATTTCCATTTCTGCTCTTTGGTTAAGACTGTTCTCCCTTCTTGCCTGCACTCCTGCCATTGCCCTGGTAACAGGTGTCTTCCCCGCCCATCTTGTATTCCATGACTCCCTAGGATCAGTCATCACTGTTCTCGCCGGCGCCAGGGTGACCACACTCCTGTGACAGCCCTCGGTGGCTTCCTCCCTTCACAAGATGATGCTCCTCCTGGGGCGCAGCCACCTGACCCCCTACCTCTTCCATTCACTTTCCGGCCATGTGGAGTCTACTTTGGGACTGCCCACCTGCACAGGCAGTTTTTTTTTACAGCTTTATTGAGATATAATTCACATGTCATAGAATTTATCCATTTAAGGTCCACAGTTCTATGGTTGTTAGTATATTCAGAGCCATGCAGGTATCCCTGAAATCTACTTCAGAACATTTTCATCACCCCCCAAAGAAACACCATGCCCCATCAGTACTCACTCTGCACATCCTCCTTCCTCACCCCGTCTCTATGTGTCTGCCTATTCCAGACATTTCACATAAACCAAAATCATACATACACGGCGAGATTGGCTTCCTTCACTTAGCATGTTTGCAAGGTTCCCCCATGCTGGAGCGGTATCAGCACCGCATTCTGTGGTATGTACACACCACATTTTGTTCATCCATGTATCAGACACCGGACATGCGTGTGGGTCATTTCCACTTCAGTGCTGGCTCTTAGCACCGTGCTTCCCTTACCCTGATCCTGGGGCCTTTCTGCTCCCTTTAGGGCCTTGAGCACAGGTGAGCACTGATGTTTCCTACTCATCATTCCCTAGGGTCTTAGTGGACACTTAATACATGCAACTGTGACTGGAACTGGGTTCTTGGACACTGTAACTCCTCTGGGGTAAGTAGAACCACAGCTGCTATGTCAGCTGCCACCTCCACCACTTACATTCAGGATTTACTGAGTGTAGGCATCACTTAACATCTCTGAACTCTCTCTCTCTGCATCGTGAGACATATTATATCTCAATCCCTACTGCAACCCTACGAGGTTGATAGTATTATT